TATATAAACAAGAACTGTATTAGACTCTTTACCTGTTTGCTGGATATATTTTCAGTAACTTCATTATATCTAATTATCTTTTAAGAAATTGTAAGAAACCCAGAGGAAGGCAAGATTTGATTTAATGGAAACCATAGTTCCTTTCTTCATCACTTGAATATCCTTTTACGTACATATATTAGGGTATCATTCTTTTATAGTTTCCATCTTCCTTTCATTTTATTTTGTTACCCTTTTTATAGAAGGTAGAAGGAAATATGTCTTCTACGACAGTTTTATAAAGAAATTAAACATTCTAAGATGTTTTATTTATTTTTTGTTTTTATTCGGATTGAATCCACTCTGCTGTAGTTTTTGAAGCTGGGAATTGGTGCCATATGAAGGGACATATATGTGCAGATTGTATGCCTGCTATTCATCTCAAGAATTGTTTCAAAGTAGCTTTATATATCCATAGAAGTGAAAGAATGTCTAAGGAATTGTTTTGCTAGTCACTTGTATTGGCTTTCAAGATAGGATTTTTTTCTGTGAATTTAAGGCATATGGTTATAAGTCAAAGTTAAATATTTTACAGGTTTCATTTTATGGAAAATAAGCTAGTGAATTTTATGGTCAAATTGATTGTCAAAAATATGATTAAAAGGTAACACTATACATAAGCATAGGAAGATATTTTGAAGTGGGAGCACTCCGTAAGGGGCCTAGGATGTGTAGCCCCCAGAAGCTCCTGGATGTATAACAGTTTTAACCCATTTATGACGAGTTTCCCACATATGAGACACCCAAAAAAAAAATTGCCGGGCATCCCGCCGGTGTGACGCTGGCTTGGAGCTTGCACTCCAATTTGCCAGCGTGTGAGTAGGTTCTGGGCCAGCCCCACACGCCGATTTTGAAGCTGCCCAGAAACTATTATTTTTAGCTTCAAAATATACAGTTGCTAGTGAGTTAAAAGAGATAGACTCATTAATTTCTGCACTAAAATGTCAGACATTTGTATTTAGTTAATACTTGACATAATGGTTATTTCATTTTGAACACCAGTTGCAGGGGGTCATTGTTCTCAAAAACTGAGTAACTATGGAATTGCACCATTTGTTTGTTTATAGGGAATGTCCTCGAAAGTTGAGGAGTGGGTTCTGGCCCTACCCCCACCATTCTAGAGTGGGAGAGATGGTAGCCCCGTCTGCCCCTCCATTCCTAAGCCTATGCTATAGCCATCATGCTTCATATATTGTCATAGGTCAACACTGAACTTCTATGCAAGCATTAATTTGTAGACTTTGATTCTATAGCAAACAGTTCCTCTGACCTTTTTGTGCATCCTCACAGCTGTCAGGTTTCATGATTTAAATTTGATGTGATTGTGATTGTGTCCTTACATCTGTTTAACATGCACAACTTGTGCTGTGTTCAGAACACCTTGTCTTGCTCATCCAGACAATTTGTCAAGACCAGCAGGACAATGAGACTGCTTTTGGAACCTCCAATGCCGTCATTGCCCACAATGCAACTAGCTCTCAAGTAAAATTTCACTGTTTTAATATACCAGTGTTTTTTGCACCCTGAATAGCTTTTGTTAACTTACCTGCAACTGACAAACACAAAGATACTCTTTGATAACAACAATAAAGGGCCATAAAATTACCTACCAATATCTTATGGTTGTGTGCAACTGACATTATTTACATACAAATGCTATTGTGACATCATCATGTCCAGCTTGCAAGGTTTCGAAGGGTTAGATGGACGAGGTAGACAGGTTATCCAGAATGCGAAAGTAGGGGTTCTGAATTGTCAAAATATCTCATTCATCTTGTCCAACTTCTTGGACGAGGAGTTTGGAATGCAGCGTTAGAGCAGGCGTGACAGTGCATCTTGCAAAGGCATTACCCCAATGTGAGGGTCTACCATGACACAATAGAAGGTCATCACAGTGTGATGAGGTTAAATAAAGAGCCATTCTAAGTTCTATTATGCCTGACTTTGTGTAGTAGAGGTGTGGTGGTTTTTGTTGCTGCGCTTTAACTGCAGTGGTTGATTACAGTCCAGTTGCAAGTACCACTTTCTTATGTATTTATCTTTACTGAATATTTTTACTGTATTATTGTTTGTAATCCTCTATGTTATTACTGTGTTATTGTTCATAATCCTGAGGGAAGGTGTGGATCAGCCTTTATTGCAATACTAACATTCAGTGAGTTGTGGAAAAAAAAAATCTCATATTGCATATTGCTTCTGAGGTTGTAAAAAGATTAAGCAAAGTGAGCATAGAGCTTGTAAAGTTCTTAAGTTTATGTTCATGTAACTATATTAACATAATTTACAATATAACCCAACTTCATCATTATATTGTAAAGTTTTCCAAGATGATTTTCACTGTCATTCCTATACATAGTTTTGCAATTACTCTTGCTCATGATTTTTGCTGTTATATTGTTATTTGGTATCTAATCTTTTTGCAGTAATGAAAGACCAACAGCTCGTAAGGTAGGGGACAATT